AGAAATAGTTGTCCCACTGCAACAAACATATGAGAGTTAGCAATTCCAAATATGTTTTTAAACATATCAAAGTGATCGAAATCTTTAGTTTTTGTGTGGAATTGTAATTGTAGATGAGAAATGGTTACACCAATAAACCATGAAAATGAAAGAAGTGAAGGAAGAAGAAATGTGTAATTTTTCAAATTAACCTATCTGCGGAATATGTTATAGCTTCTATTTTATTACTCATCTATGCTATGGTTGTGGCTCAAGTATAAGTGACTATCTCGCGTCTACTGTGATATACAAGCTTTTTCGTTATTAATTGCAGAAGCCAAAATTTTTCGCAGTAAATTATGAGATGATATAATAGCTCTCGTTTTAATTAGATTTGGTTATATCCAAAATTGAAAAAATTGGCTTATATAAAGAAATATTAATCGAATTCGGTTGTAATATCTGTACTCAATGAATACTCTAAAGAGTTGCGGAATTCTATTTCTCAGAAGATATAAAAAATTTAGAACAGAGGACTTTGTTAAAAAAAATGTACAAGTTTTATATTTTAAAAAAATTGAACTTGCCCTGTATATATCACTGACTTATTAAAAATCCTAGCACTTATTCTCTTTGCTTATATATAACACTTTTAAAACATAATTGGTCGATCTATAAATAGCTTCATTTGAGCTACTTTATAAAAACTTTATATATTTATATTCTTGTGTATAAAAAACTCAATTCTTTTAAATTTCTTTACAATTCTATTAGATTGAAAAGAATTTTTAAGTTTAATAAAATTTCTATAGGAATGAATTCAAGGACATTTTTGTTTTGTTAATATTTACACCCATAAAATATGGCTTTCATTCATAAAAATTGTGCAAATATGAAATTAAGAAATGCTTTGTACTGAGAAAGTAAATAATACGACTTATATAATAGACGGAAAATAACAAAGCAGGAAAAGCACGAACCGGAAAAGCCAATTTCATCCGCAAAATTGTGTGTCATGACGATGCGATAATTTCCTTTAAATTTGCTTTGCAAGCAAATAAAGGATAAAATTGTGTATAAATTTTTTTTTGTAAATGTATCGCAAATTGTAAAAACCGAATATCGTTCTAAGCAATAATAATAATTATCCAAAAATTTATTGTTTTCCAAAAACAATTATCAAAATTACAACAATTAACACGTGACAATAATTACTTCACAATTAACAATTTCAAAGTACGAGGTTTATGCGGTTACTTCTTAGATATGCCACATTAGACTTTTTTAATATAATTCTTTAGTAAGTTTTCTTTATCCTTTTTTTGGTAATCTTTTAGATAAGGTCACAAATGTATTTTAAATTTTTGCTTATTATGTGAAAGTGGGCTAATTAGTTCTTGATTAAAGTTCTTATAAGACATTTTTATTATATAGTACATTATCATTATATTTTTGCGTCTTTTATTACTTTAGTCCTGACTGTTTGTAGTGTCATAATATAAGCACATTGTTTCTTGAAATTCGGGTTTATAAGCCTGGTTCTTACATTTCGGTGAAATAGAGAACATGGGTTCTATGGGGAGTTCGTGTAACTCGTAACACTCTGCGGTATACTCACAATTCAAAGTCTGCAATCTCTTGTATACTCACAATTCAAAGTCTGCAATCTCTTGCCTTTAAAATTTTTGTAATAGTTTACGGATTTGCTGCATAGGTAGCTATTGAGAACTGATGGTTCCATATTTTCATATTTTTATAAGTTTTATGGTGGCAGCTTTATCTATTGTAATATGTTATATATTTTTTTTTTTAAGTTTTGCCTGTGTGTTATATGGGGTAGTCTGAATATTAAATTTGAATTGAATTTCTCTACAATCATGCAATCATTGTCACTTTTAGTTAACTATTACATAGTCGGTCAATGATCATGAAACTTACAAAACACATTTAGCGGTTGCTAAACGATTTACATTATAAAATGGCAAACCTAAAATTTAATATATGATGGCTTAGGTGAGAGTTCTGTTTGAATTGTCCCACTGAACAATGCAAGTAAATCGGAAATATGATATTTATAATCTTTTTTTAATGAGAAAATAAAGATTTCTGGATTTAAATTTTTGGTATACTTTTTTTCGGATATCTTTTGTTTTATTGAACATCAAAAATTAACTTCTTATTTGATATGTTTTGTTTTGAAAGTTGGTCCAAGAAGACTCTACTCATGTTTATGTTGCTTTAAAAGCCTATATATATGCAACCTAATTAAACGTATAATTCATGAAATGTATCATTTTTAAAATTTTTTCAGTATTTTTTCAGAATATTATAATATATTAATGTCTTTAAATAAAATATATTGTGATTTAATGTTATTTTATGAATATATATTATATTTTCAATATTAACATTTAATTTGTGAGTAAAAACACTTATCTAATATCTTCAATCTATCTAGTTGTAATAATAGTTGCAAAATACTTATCTAATATCTACATAGTTTAAATAGGCTTTTACCTTAAGTCCATGTAGGCGGTAAAAAATTTTACTTGATATCATAAATATTTCGTATAACAAGAGGGCGAGATATTATTGCTTTTACCTTTTAACTGTAAGCTCCCTTGCATATTAGTAATATTAATTCCATTTCAAATATCGCAAAGGTAGAAATAATTCTACTTTGAAAAATTGAAATGTTCAGATTTATTCAACCGTTTCACTTTATTTTTTAATAATTCAAAACAATAATTCCTAATGCTGCTAAAAGCTTATTAAAATGTCAAGACAGTATGTCAAGGGAATATGACAAAAATAAATGTTTTCTATGGAAATATTAATTTGACTATTTTTTGAATATTTATTGAAATTATTTCTTAAGGACAAAAGGACAATAAGACAACTTAATGTCGAATAGGAATTCGTATGTGTGCGACTCCGCAAAAATGGATCAAATATATATTATATGAATTATATTATATTGGTAACGTTTTATTATATTTTAAATAATAGATTAATTTACTTTTCAGTAAATTAATACTGAAATAATAGATTTGGAGTTTTATTAGTGATCCTTTTCACAATCTTCCCAAATCATAGCTTAGATGTCGCTTGGTATTGGTATATTCTTAGCGTGAAAAGGGGTCCTTATTTATATTTTAATTTTAATTATTATTAGAAATGTCTTCCTATTATTTAGCTTTATATACCGTCATATAGAAGTTTCTCAAAAATTTTGAATAGCGGTGATTGAAAACTAATTTGATTATATGATGGGGTCTTGTTCTGACTTTTTATGATTATGGTAGTCCGGTTATAATCACTATTTTTTATGCAATTGAAATGTAATTTAACTAATTCTAAAAAATAAATTATTAAAAGTAAATGAAATACAGTTGTAATATGACATATATTATTGACTTGGTGGGTGACTCATTTCCGCCAAACCTACATAATAATAGTATATTATTCTTAAACTTTATGTTCCCTACTAAAAATAAAAATATTATAGAAAAGGTTGGGAACCACTGATAACGAGTATATCTCCAAGTCTAATTAATTTCAGATTCTTCATTCGATAAAAAATATCCACCACAGTACTTTTTTGCTTATGTATCAGTGCCGGGAAAACTCTCAGCACGCGTTTTGTGGTTTCATTATCATTCCTACAAGTTAGAGTAGCTTCCCAGTTTTGATAGATAATAGTTTAACCCAGTATCCTGTCAGGATTTTGTAATGAATTTCAAATTATTTTTCTTTAAATCATTTTAGGTTAAAAGTCCTTAGTAACGATATCGATTGTGATAGCCTTGGTAGATTATATAGCATAATTTGCTCCGAATGCATAGGAAGGATAGGACGAAGTCGTGACTTAAAAATTTTAAACAGTAGTTTAATAAAAGTATAAATTATTTATAACACAACTCTTGACAAAATAAAAATATTGATCATGTTAAGCAATATTCGAAACAGAAGAAGAACCGTAAATCGTGCAGCTTCGCAATTGTGTACTGCTTTGGGCATTAATCTCAAACAAAAAGTAAAAATCGCTGATTCAGTAAAATTAGTTCAAATAAATAATAAGTACAGTACTGCTTAAGATGTAATAAGTAAAAAATATTTGAATAGATATTTTTAATATTAAAAGAACATCAATTAAGAACTCTTCATTTTTCCTTGAATTTAGTACATGGGCGATTAAGTTCGCCAGGGAAGATAGCATGTATCAAGAAATCAACCTTTAAATAATGGCGATCAAAAAGAGAAGATTATTTAAATGAAATAATTAATATCAATTCTTACCTAATTGCTAATAAAGGACATTGCAAGAAGAATCTGGTTTTACTGGTTACATACAAAAACTACCTGTGAATATGAAGCTCAATCTTTCGCTATTGAAAAATGTCTTAGGTTATCTTTTTATAATGCAATATTACTACAATCATACAATTCTTACCTAATTGCTAATAAAAGAACATTGTAACAAGAATCTAGTTTCAATGGTTACACCAAAAGACTACCTGTAAATACGAAGCCCAACCCTTTGCTATTGAAAAACGGCATGGGCTATTTTTTCATTATGAAATATTACTTCGATCATACTTTTAGGGAGGAGCAATGTCTATGATGTAAAGTCTAAAGTTAAATTTCGTTCTTTATATTTAAAGAATGGCTACGTTTATAATTTCAACTGTTGAATAAAATATCGTTCATCTTTATATTTAAGCAAATTCAACAAAAACGATTCACAATTAATTTTAAAACTCAATTTTTTTAAATTTTATTTTAAAACATCATAAAGGACATTTAATTTTATTAATGCCACAATCACAGCATTTTTATGGAAATTGAACTTTCGTTTTTAATACAAAATTTTATAGTAAATTTTCTTAAAAATATTTAATTTAAAATTAAACTCCAACATTTCAATATTAAAACTACAATTCTTAATTTTAATAATTTACGAAATATATAGAAAATATAAAAATATTTACATGCGGTTAATTTTATGAAAATTTGGCAAATTTGAATATTACAATTATTTTTTTACTAAATTAAGCGCACTCTATATATATATATACAGCCATTGTCGTTGTTATATTTGTACTACAACTCAGTCTCAGGCCAACTGATTCTCCGTCGATCTCATACATAATTCATGCGGCGCGGCATAAACCGCTTGCGTCCAGAACTATTGTTACCAAAATGGCTCAAGCTTAAGCTGAGACCAGACTCATACCCGGTCTGTGTTTGCGAACGAGTTTCAGTAATAAATGAACAAGTCGGCAAAGTAGGACAGTAACGTCGTAGTTGTTGCTTGAAAGCAGCAGTGGTGAGGGTATAGAGGATAGGATTTAAGGCAGAATTCACAGGTAGCACAAGTACTGCTAGCCAAGCATATGTTGCTGGTGAAATTTCACATCCTGAAAATGAGATTAAATTAGTGAAAAATTAAAGAAGTGAAAAAGATTTGAAAATTTGCTACCTGAAAGTGCTGCTAATTTGACTATAATAATTGGTAACCAACAAGCGCAGTCTGTGGTTACAATAATGGCGAATCTTTAAGTTTTGTGTAATTAGAAATAAAAAAAAACTTAATAAATATTACATTAAAAATTTAATAATATAACAATAATTTTACCTGGTTGCCACTACATTTTCACGTCCACTTAATGTGCTTCGCATGCAACCTCCAGAATCTTTTATAGCTTGCAACATACGCACATATGAGATCAAAATAAAAATTAATGAGCAAGTGTTAATGCATATAAATAAAATTGCAGAATATTCCCAACCCTGTGAAATATTAATTAAACTAGAGTTTATAAGAGTTTATAGAGTTTTTAAATATGATGCTCTTCAACCTTTGCGTAGGGGTCATGTATGTGCAGCGATAGACAAACGCCATTGGTGCCATAAAAATGTTGTCCAAAATAACTGAGCGGGAAGAGCGGTGCAGCAGCCAGAAAGAATGATACGCCCCATAGAAGTGTTAAACGCAAAGCAATTCTATAAACAAAAATATAGTAAAAATTATAAATATTAAATTTTCTTAAAAGTTGCTTAGTGATGTGTAAGTAGGTGAGTGGGTGAGTGGAATAGGATTCGAAAACTGTCAATCAAATGTCGCTCAAGAAGTCATTTTAGCTTTTTGTTTTGTAAATAAAACTTCAAATTGATGTTCTTTTATTTATTAAAATTTTTTGTTTTCAGATATTCATTTCTTAGAAGTTTTTTCTCAGAAATTAATTACATATTAAAAAGTTTTTGCTTTTTAAATTTTGTAAAAATTTTTATATAAGTTTTCTTTTTTGCCTGAAATAGTTATATAAAAGTTTACTCATATAATTTACCCGGTTTTTCCAATATCACGTGGTTTTAGCGGTCGCATTATTGACATCAGACGATCCCATGTCACTAGTGTCAGCAATAAAGTTGATGACTGGCAACTAAATGTACTTAAAAAACCTTTTAAATAAAGATTAAAATAATGTTACGAACTGACAAAATATATCTAATCCAAAAGTATTACCCGAAAAGGCGCACAAGTGACTTTGCCGCCAGTCTTGTTCATGTACAATATATTCGCCACGATAACTAATGTCAGTACAGGCAATTATCGTTAAGTAAACTCCCATCAGGAAATCACTGGCCGCCAAATGACGCAAGTAAAGTGAATGTTCTACGTTGCTGCGTGATTTGTAGAAGTATCGTCCAAAAAGAACTAGTAAATTACCTACAGTCGCAATAAAAGCCATCACCCATACACTATAAATAACCGAAATGTGTTTTTATTAAGAAGAAAAAAAGAAAATTAATTGTTAATTGAAATAAAATCATTACTGAATAAAGGTACATTCTAGCGCTACTTGTATGTCGTTTATTCTAATAAATACCATTCTATGGTTTGATTATAGGAAACGTAATACAATTGAGTTCTGCATTACCAGAGATAATAGTGAAGAAATTCACAAAAAAGGTGATCCTGCAGACTGCTTCAATTATCGTGGGATCAGTTTTTTAAATATCGCATATAAGGTTAGTTAGTTAGTTGTGGTGGAGGGAGGACGAATCCCCCCAATTAGCTAAAAAAAAAGGAAAGCGGTTTTGAATCCACAAAAAACCTTGTAATAGTGGGTAGTAGATAGAGGGTCAAACCAGAACCAGCCAGAACCATTAACAAAGGTAAGAATCTGAATAATGCTAATGCTAAGTGAGTTGAAGAATTGGGCCCCCAGAAGCATAAACCTAGTTCTAGCCAGACCTGGAGAAAAACACTTCAGGTGTTTTGGTGTTATTTCTTCAAGAGCTAAAATTCATAAAAATAAAAATTCAGCGGTTTCGCGGCTGGAAAGATGTTTGATTTGGTATCTGCAGGTGGATAATGCCATAGAGGACATCCACATCTTCGGTGGAAGGACCAACTTATATTTAAATTTGTTATAAAAAATTAGTATCAACTCGAACGTACTGTAACACTAAATCAAAACCTTTTTTTTATAAACTCATGCTCCCAATATATACTTCTACTTTCAAGTATTTGTTTTAGTTAGTTTTTCTTAAGTAATACATTTTTAGTTAAAATTCTACTGAGATTACCTCGCTCTTAGTATGGTGTTGTCCAACAAGTGATATGTGCTACTGATACCATCGCCACGTGGCTCACAGACACGTACATGCATGGCAGCTCGACATAAATGGAACCATGAAAAGTATCTGCAAACACGTAATAATGTGTTTTCAGTTTTATTTATCTTTATATTTATTTCTGATGTATAAGTTTTAACATACACATTTTAACATACATATGTATAAATTAACTTACATGTAATTGAGATGCGTTAAATTTTGTAACACTCGAGTATCGAGGGTCTTAAATTCGTTTCCAGTTAAAAGCAATGAAGTTAAATTCCCCAGGCAATCAAAAGCATTTAATTCGAATCTGATGAGCTTGTTATCATTTAAGTGGCTGAAAATCAATTTCTTAAGCTTTTTTCAATCATATTTTTTTTTAATACTTATATCGTTAAATTTATAAGTTCCTCAAATATACTGTGGGTTTCAAATAATAATATGATATGAAGTACGGAAACTTTATTAAACAAATTGATATTCCCAAAAGTTTTATCACCATATCTTTTACATACAGACTATATGTTTTCTTAAGCATCTAGAAATTAGTCATTAATTAAAAAAAGGATTTGTTGAAGTAGGACTATATCATTGTTATTATCGGAATCAATAATGAAACTCTACAACTATTGAGATCTTTTGTTTCCTCGGAGCATGTTTGGTTAACATTTAAATACTTATAGTATCATGAAAATCTTTTATATTACTTTTAAATTATAGTTTTAAACTGGCCTTATTGAACATTCATTTCAGTAACTCGTAGCGCTATTTAGATATTGGCTAAGATTTTCTATTCAATATCCAAGCCATTTGAAATATTAATATTTTAACTTCATTTAGTATATCACTTCAGAAACATTATAATTTGACGAATTTAAAAAGCGATCATCGTCCTAAAAATCCTTCCTTCCTCATGTTGCATAGGTTATGCTCCCTTAATTTCTTATGATCACATATGAATATGAGGTACAATGCTTATTGCTGTCAGTATTCTCATTACGAAATTTAAATGCGGGTTTTAAGTATACAAAAATTTATCTTCCATCCGGTCATTTGTCGATGTAAAACTAAGTTAAGAGTTTGTTTTATATAACATTTATAAGAGTTTGGTACTATTGAGTATTGAATTCTAAATGCTATCTGCGATAGAAATCGCATTTTGAAAAATTAGAATCACACCTTGGTATCCCTTTTCGTTTTCATTCGTTGAACTTATTGTACAACTTAATATAGCATGTTAGGTAATACGATATTATTACCGATATATTATACGATATACAATTGATTGGTTGGTTTCAGTTGATGATTAGTATATACTTTTTCGATTTTAAAAATTTGCCAATTTTCGCTGTTTTGATACTAAATTCTTCGAAAATAGATAAGGGTTCTTTAATAAAACAGAACTTTTGTCCATTTCCATAAAGAATGCAATAAATGGTGAAGAATGTACTTTTCTATAGATCTAGTCTTAGCACTAGTTAAAGCTGGACAATTCAAGAGAGACCAGAATGAGCTACAACATGATGTGATTATTCAAAGACCAGTTTGATGAGAAAGTTAAACTAAATTTTAAATTTGAACTAAATTTAAATAAAAGAAATATTTGTACTAAGGCATTAAGAATTCTACTTATCTCTGAACGCATCTTAAGGTGGGGTGCGCAAAAAATATCCAATAAATTCTGATGTTCTTAAAGAACAGATACAGTAGCATCTTAAGAGATCGTATGTCCAAAAATACGTTGTTAAGCTTAGGTAGTTTACAATTCACTTTTTAATCACGGGAGTTAAGAGACATATTTTTTTACCAATAATTAAAGTGGTTCAAATACCAAAGTACTTTTCTAAATTATATACACTACAAACTTTTTATATCTTTCCATCAATTTCAATATTTTTTATAATGAGTTAATGTTTTATTTAAAATCAAATATACTTACAGTCCTTGCAATAAGCTGAGATAACAAAATGTTTGATTTCTTAATATGGTTAAGCGATTGCCTGCAAGAAATCTAAAACGGAACAGAATTTTTTTCTAAGTAAATAAAATTTTTTTCAATTTTAGTATTAAATTTTCTTGAAGTGAATTAAATTGTAGAAATTTGAATAAAAAATTGATTTTCTTTTTTAAGGAAAATGTTTCATGCAAACTGAACATTGTTCAAAAAGTATGAGAAAATTTGAAGTTAACACATATTTTTTGTTGATATTTGTAAACATTTTAATAATTTTTTATATATTTTTATTATTTTTTATTTATTTTTATTATTTTTCATTTTATACATTTTTTTTATTAAAGTGACTAAATGCAAATAGCTTCCTCTACTTACAAGTGTCTTAGGTTGGGAAATGTAAATGCGGAGCGTTCAATATCAATTATTTTGTTCTGCGTCAGCGACAATGTATGCAATTTCCTTAGCAACGGGAACATCCCAGGACGGATGCGAATAATACGATTTTCGTTGAGATAACTGAAATGACAATGTTATCACTTCTTAAATATTTTGTACAATATTTTACTTCGTGTGTATAGTAAAAACGTTACAAGTTGTTTATTTTTGACAAAAATAATGTAGAAATGCTACAAAAATTAAATATACAGTAGAACCTCACAATCTACGCCCATGTATGTTAGAAATGACACTTTTTTTGGTATTACAGTCTTTTAATACCAAAATTTCTCAATCATTCGTATGATTAAAAGTTACCTATTTTGACCAGACATCACTTTTGAACGGACAAAATGTGACAGACGACCAGTGTTTACTTCAGAACACTCGTAGAAAAAATTTATAAATACATTTGAATAAAACAAATAAAACCCATAGTTTCTGTGTATAATAAATCTCAATCCTATAAACAGGAAGCTGTTATATAACCAAATAATTCGACCAAGGCCTGAAACACTACTATTCGCCAGGTAGCAATTGCACAAAGCCAGTCTCTGAGAAAACTTTTCAATGTACCATGGTACATTAGGACAAATGACATCCTCAGGGACATCAAGATTGATCCAATCAAAAAATACATAAATGATAGAGCCCAGAAATTATTTACGAAATTTTGACAGGCTTACCAACACCGTGTTATCAAATCTCAGAATGGTTACAGGTTCCTCGGGGAGGTATGCAGATCCGAGATCAATTATTGCTTAGTGTAATGAAGTGAAAAACAATAATCCAGTCAAGGCGTAGAGAGGGGTTATGAAGAAACCTCGCAGTTAATAGAGAGTAAAAGTGCTCAAGTACACTGACTATATTAGATTCAAAGTTTAATAGCATTGTGTAATAGATCCTCCAGTATTAATTGGCGACAATAAGTTCTGTAATTGAATAATGTGATATTGTATAATATGGCTATCGTGTTAAAATAATTCATTTCTTTGAGGTGTCTTAACGTGATGACGACATCTAAATATCGTGTTAATGTTCTTTAGAAATTATTTAGAAAGCCATTAGAAACCATTTTTCAATTCGCATAACGTGTTTTGGTTGTTTGAACAAGTGACTTAACACGGTTTTCGATTCGTGGTACTTCAAATTGTACACAACGTGTTCTGGTTTTTTTTATAAGTCCCATAAGTCCCATACCCTAATATTTTCTGTTTGAAACTACTGTTTTCGCTCAATGAGCGTTTTTGAGTTGTAAAATATGAACATATGTACTTGTATTATATATTAATAGTAATATTTAAATATTACTTACAGCACTTCTAAGTTCATCATAGGTTTAAACACATCAAGCTCAAAAGTTTCAATTCGATTCGATCGCAAATCACTAAAAGTTTAAACAATTACTTGTTTTATATTCGAAAATAAAATTTAAAGATAAAATATAAAGAATTTTAGATAAAAATTTCAAAAAGACATGAAATATTTATAAAATATTTGTTTGCATTACTTACAGTTCTTCAAGATTTTCAAGATGCTCAAAATCGTAGTTATGCAGCTCATTAATTTGATTCCCTGAGAGAATACTAAAATCATATGGAAAACATATTATTAAAATTATGTTCCTTAATCCGTTTTTTTTCTAGTATGTTACAATTTATTTTATTAAGATGACAAAAGATCTGTATATATAGCGAAATCATCATAACTTAAGCAAAGGCCGTTGAATCTAAATAAGAGAATATCTGAACTCCTGATATTTTCTGATTTTTCTCCAAAAACAGTAAAAAATAATTAAAAAAGGATAAAATTCTTGATGAAGAAAGTGCAATACTATATTGCAATCTATGAGATTCATTGTACAATATATGCAGAAGATCGCCTAAGCTAACTTAAGCAAATTAAGACTTTTGTCTGTCAATATTTAAGTTTTATTTTATTTACAAAAACACAGTCTTACATTTGTATGAGACATCATACTACTTGATAGGTTTAAATAAACTAAATTTACCATACTAGGGTCATCTTTCATATAAGCTCGTTGGTTTAAATAAAGTAGATTTACCATAAGCTCTATCAACCACCTCGACATAACATATTATTACCGGTCCAACTTATGACAAAGTTTTACGTTTTATTTAATAAATTTTTTCTATAATTTTGAAATTAAATGTGTAGAAATTTCTGTTTCCAAAGTTTCATTTGCATAAGTTCTATAAAATAAATTCACATTGCGAATTTCTGAATTTTCAAAAAAAAAACAAAAAATATTATAAAAGTTTGTTTGCTGCTTGGCAGTGGTGTAGTCAATTGATTGAGTGGGATAGATTATCTGTCTACAAATCGATTATTCTTTAAATAGTTCTATCATTATTTCAGAAAATAAGGTGTGCACCACATTTCTGAAAGATACAGTGATATTTTCTTTCTCTTATATACTGAACAGTCTGAGACAGAGGAAGAGTTCATAGAGAAGACACCAGAATACCTGTTGTGTCCAGGCTTGTCCAGAATCAGGCTTAAGCTATGGCCTCCTCACTCTTTAACACACTCAATGATATTTTCAGCATTAGCGTTGTGCAGATTCTGGCATTTATCAATGCTTCGCGTTGGTTCTATTATTATTATTATCCTACCCACCAATACGTGGAATTGTGGAATCAATTCGCCTTTTTATCTAATTGAGGAGGACTTGTTCCTTCCTTTACTTCACTTAAATTAATCAATACAGAAGAGGAAAAATTGAAACGATGTGTTGTTTGCTAATATTGTATTTTTCGATTATTGATAGCTTTCCCTACTGTTTCAATTACCAATTGAATTTGAAAAAAAGTGTTCAAGAAGGTAAGCAAAAGGATTATACATATTTATAAAAACATATCAACATATCAATCCCCTATCTTAAAATTTTTAGTACACCACTGCAAAAAGTACTCACAGGATTCCTAAGACATTGCCAGCAGGAAACATATCTTTCGGTAAGCTCTGAATTTTATTTTCGTCCAAGTATCTGCAAGATATAAATTTAACGCATAGTGTTTTCATATTACTACAAACAGATTATGTTTGAGATAATATTTTGAAGTATATTGGAAATTACACTTACATGGTTTTTAATGGATTTTCGCTGAGTGTTTTGAATGCAAATGGCGATATCGTTTCAATAGAACAGAATTTTAATACTCTAAAATAAATAGAAAACAAATTTGAATGTTAATATAAAAAATAAGTTCTCTAACAATAATTCATAAAAAAACATTAATGTTTGCACCAGAATACATAAACATTATATTTGAACATATGCAGATTGTTTTATATCAAACCGATATATACCATAGGTTTATAAAAGGTTACTACTTTGTCAAAGAAAAAGTTAAGATTTTATGTGGTAAGAGAAATTGATACTATTTATGTTGTATGCTAATCGATATAAAGGGTGTCAAAGATAAGTTAGCTTTAAAAAAAACTTCAATTATAGAAACATCAATATCTTCAAAATACTTTATGTAAGCAGGTAAAGTTCTATGCTGCCTAGGCTGCCTAGACCAGATAAGATCGCGGGCCAATACAAATCACTGCATAGGTTGGAGGGCGACAGAAATAAATATATACGTTTATAATTTTTCCAGAGAAAAATAAATATATAACGATAAAGTTAAATAATAATAACTTTCATTAATTTATTTTTTAAAATTCTATCAATTCTATCAAAATATTTTATTTTTAATGGTATGACTTACGGTACTGCATGCGAGTTATTGAACCCGTTGGCCATGTTTCGTAGGCCATAGGTCTTACTTTAACACATTGACTTACACTTATTAAGATTTTCACAATTCCGATGTAATAAGTGTGTTATTTCCATTTAATCTGTGAAAACCAGTCCATTTAATCCAATGATTTTTAAAATTAAAACAGTTATTGTCTCATAATTTTTATTTTTTTTTTGAGGATTTTTGTTTTCTATTCACAAACTGTATATACATGTGTGACAAGTAAGAAAATGATGAGTTAAACTATTCGGATGTCATTTTTGAGATTCATATGAAGGTTCTGCTGATTGTAGGTTGTACAGTTAATACGAGGGCGGTTTGATAAGTCAGTGACTTTTTGAATTTCCCGCACAGTTACTCCAAATGCAACAGTGCTGCCGTCGGTTGTAATCTACCAGTGGGCAACTTTTTAATTTTGAGCAAGCTACGTCGTTCAGTTGTTCTTTGATAGCCGTTCAAAGCAGATAACCTCGTGAATTTTTACGAAAATGGAAAAAAGTGAATTTCGTGTACTGATTAAGCATTACGATCTCAAAGCCACGAATTGGGATACAAACTGCTACCCCATCCAGCATATTCTCCAGATTTAGCCCTCTGCGACTATTTTCTGTTTCCAAACCTAAAGAAATTGCTGGGCGGTAAGAGATTTGAGTCGAATGAAGAAGTCATTACCGAAACAAACGCGTATTTTGAGAGCTTTGAAAAAACGCATTATTTGGAGGGAATAAGGAAATTAGAAAAACACTGGACTAAATGTATCGAGCTAAAAGGTGACTATATAGAAAAAAAGAAATGTTTATTTGCCGAAAAAAATTTGTTTTATTCAGCCCTCATATTAAAAATTAATCCCATATCCGTTCTGCTTAATTTTTTCATTTAATAAAGTTTCTGTAGCTTTAATATGGAACACCCTGTATACTTATCTTTAACAAATATCTAAACATTTATTTTATTATTCATCACATACGCTTGCTAAAATTAAACAATATTCAAAATTATATTTCATATGATAAATGAAAGTGAATAAATACTGCTTTGTATTTAACAAAAGAACAAAGAAATGTGACAAAAAATAATCAAAAAATGTATCTTAGAACGTTTTATAAATTGAATAAATTTAGAAAATTGAATGTTACACCTAAATATTTTTAAGATTGATTGACAAATTAGTGAAGCATAAAAGGGATGTTGGCAAAGTGATTGCTTTTTATATGAATGATTTTGCTTTTAAATGTGACAAAAGTTTAAAAGTAAAAATAGGTGATATTTAAATTTATTCTTTATATAGGATGTACATATGTATATAGTTCTAAAAATATATTTTAAGAAAAGCAATCGACCGAATTGATACATTTTTTGTTGAAGCTTTTGTGAAGGATCTTGAACCAATAAACACAAAAGTTGATAAACTTCTGTAATTTACTTACACAAAATTTTTTAATACTTACAGACTTTCAATCACAGGTATATTTTGAAAAAAATGTTCATCTATCGTTGTAAAATTGTTTCCAGTTAAATCACTGCGATGGCAAAGTATAATGCAATTATGAAAAAAATATTTAAAATTATTTACAATTAACTTAATTAATAAAAATTGTAAAAAATCTCACAGTGTCGCTACATCGTTCATAGGTAAGCCCAAAGGAACTGAAGTCATTTGTTGAAAACGGCATAAAATTTCATTGCCTCTACATGGGCAACTTAAATTATTGCTTGGCCACACTAAAAATTTAATTAAAGAAAAAAAATTTAAAAATTGTATACTACTTTTACAAATTTTTAATGATAACATTTGAAAATATCAAACTGTATATATTGAAAATAAAACTTTACTACTAATATTTGCTTTCTGCTCTGGCATTTTCCATCTACTCTGTTTGTTTAATGTGTTATTTATCTTCACCCACATACTTACAACACGTGCCTATTGGCACATCGTCGTGTCGTCCAAAAGGTTGTTTGCGAAATAAATGATCCCAGAACTTAGCATCAACATCATTCACACAATTCCACTCATCGGACGCATCATCACAGTCTACTGCACCATCGCAATTCAAGCGTTGAGGCACGCATTGAACTGATGTGTTGCAATGGAAAAATCCAATGGGACAATTATCCATTTCATCGGGTATTACAATTGTTGCCTCCGGTAGGGTGAGAAGTGAAGCAATACAATTGATGTTGTCGTTTGTGGTCATCACAAGTGTGAGGAATAAAAATATTGCAAATGGAAGTAAATAACCTGCAAAGTAAATATTGCAAAAAGAATAATACTTGCTTTATGGTTTATTGTTAAAGATATATTTAACATTATATTTGGATTGAAATGGTTTAAAAGTCATAATACAAAATTACGGTATATGAGATTTTAGACATTTGTATTGAATTTTCTTTGTACAGGGGTTGTGTTATAAATCTGGGATATATAAAATAGGCCTCATCTGCTCTTTCCTCTTTTAAAGTATAGTGGTAAAGGTTTAATGTTTTTATTGAAAATGTATTAAATGTAATTAAACATTATTATTATATTGAAACTGTTTAAAATTCATAAAGCGATATTAGGAAATACGCGATTAATGTTTTGAAAAATAATCTGAATTTCAAGACATTTGTATGGAACTTTCTTTATAAAGAAAACGTCATCTGTTTCATATGCTCTTTAATTTTCGAAGTAAAATGGTAAATCAGAACTAAAATTCTTTTGCGTTAGAAAAATATTGTTTGAATGTTGTCATATAAGTACCAATTTTTATCCACTGTGATCCAATGCGGCAAACTATTACTGACAACCTTTTCATATGCAAACACCCCTGCAAAAATTTATAACATTTACTAAATTAACTAAATAATCCTGCTCACTTTTTATGGGGATCCTTCTTTATAAGTCATGGGATATATTTACCATATCTGGAGTTGCTACCACATTGGGTTTCCTGAATGCATATTATATTTGGTGCTCATTCAACCAAACTGAAAATCATTAAACCACTTTTGAATTGCTTCATATGTCAGTGTAGTATCTCCAAATTAATTGTTCGGCTTCTTTTTTTTAAATAGACTCGTAAGATTTTTTTTCACCGTTTATATGAATCCACCAAAATTTGTACATGCTCAATAGCAGGCAAAACAAAAGAAGTAACCATTTTAGTGCAATTATCATTGACTTATCGAACAGCCCTCGTATTACTTTTTAATAACCTAATCTAATGAAATATGAGTGAATAATTGTAAACCAATATTAAATCTAAGGGAATATACTAACGTATGGATAACGGATAAACAGTGGTAGAAAGGTAGGTAGGAATAGTAGCCGTGTATCCAAGAAAGCCCACTTGAGCTTAAAGAACGGCTCATTGTGGTACTATAGGAATAGCATTGGTTCGTACATAGATTTTTTCGCCGTTTTGAGAAATGCCAAAAAAGACAATAACTCTTCAATTTCGTAAAGGAGAACCAGCCTGGCAGTTCTATGAATTTGGTCAAGTCCTTAATATTGCAGGACTCAGTCATGTGAGTCAGGTCGGTAAGAAAAGGGTCCCTAAAGATTTTTGATTTTCTCCTAGCTAAATTATGGCACTGATACTGAAGTGTAGTCTCCTCCTTATCCTCAGAGTCACAGCCACGACAAAAGATATCGTAGTACTGAGCAGGTTCTGCATTAGTTAAAGTGGCTGACTAATACGTTTTTTTTTTCAAATTAGAACAAGTCAACCTACATTTTAGATAACAGGGTTCATCAGTTTAGTATTGCTCACGTTATTTTGTTTAATTGTCAGTTTAACTGTAGCAAGTGTAACGTCTATATCTGAGTGAGTCTGATGGAGAAGAGTGCCTGCCTTGACAAGCTCATCTAAACAATAATTTAAAATATTTGACATAATAAACGAAAGTTAAGGATGTGTTGACTTAACCAGTTTTTTGACCAGTAACTGTTGCCACATTTTTGGTATATTAATACATAAGTGACACTATGTATATCATACAAATAATTTTAAATATTAATAACAATGATTTATATTTTAAAATGGAATATCACAATGGACATATAGTGCCTATATAAGCCGTTAAATTCCTATAGCAAATTAAAAATTAATGGATATCAGATTTGTATTTTGTGACTTGACTGCAGGTGTTGTTAATTGATTGCTAGTGATTTCATAGTACACTCATAGATGACACAGTAATCCTTTCTGCTTCTGCCGGTACTTAAATAAAGCTATATATATATACAAAAGTGCAAATTTTGTTCAATTTATAATTAAATGTTATTTAATAAATAGTTTTTCCTATTTTTATATTGATTTGCACTTTAGTAAAATTTAGTTTTTATATAGGTAAAACCTTTATAAAATTTTTATGATGTAAAAAAAGTATGGATGCAATTATTTGTATGGACATTAAATTAAAAGATATATTTATTTTATATTTATAGTTTACTACTTACCTAAAACAATTAGTCGTTGTTGAATATATGACAAAAAGCTTGAAATTGTCATGCTTACTTTTTTTATTTAATTAAGTAACCATAAAACAATTATTTTATAAATTTATATTATTTTCAATTTGATTTTGTTGACTATGAAATATTCTGGATTGTATGCCAATTTAATCATATCCGTCAAACTCTGAAATATAGAGGCAGATAAATTTAAATAATTTCGAAATATGTATAGGATAAAATTAATTTAAATTATTTAAAAATACAAATAATGAGAAAATAGATTTCTAATTAATTTTAGTTACTTAATTGTAATTTAGTTAAAGTAGAATAATATTTTGGTTATGTGACCAGCTACATTTAAAAATTTTGCGACTTTCCACATATGGAACTATACCGCCAAAGGTACTGTTTTAGTTTTGTAGGTTTATAAGTTTATTAAAATTGGTTGAAGTAATGCATTTCAAAATCGTTGAAGTGATATGAGTGCTGAATAACAACAACTCTTTTTTTCATAATTTCAAAATTCATGGGAGAGGGTTCTTATTATTCAGATTATTTACTTAACTGTCACTGAAAGTTGTTGATATTGAATATGTACTTTATGATTGACCTATTTTGAGTAATAAACAAAACATATGCTAACTATAGAAGTCTATTATACAATATTATATATTAAAATGATTAGATAATACAAACTCTCGAGATTCGTAGTAGCATGTTTCTATAATTTTTATTACTTATACAAAAGAATTTATCTAATTCGAAAAAATTTGCATAAACAAATTTTCCATAGCAAGTAAAAATGAAAAGTTTTAAATATTTTCACCTAATTCATATTTCATTTATGAATATTTTTTTATTTATTTCACAACTATATACAAAAAAAATTTTTTTCAATATATACCAAGAAGTAGTAAATAAAATTTCTCTCATCTTAGTATTTTATTATTCACAAATAATTGTTTTTCAAATGTTCATTAAAAATTTTGTTAAATAAACTTCATTTAAGTAGCTTAATTATTTTAAAGTTAATGTGAAGGTTATAATATAAATAAAAAATAAACAAATTATAAATAAAAAAAAATTTTAAATCTTCAAATAAAAGTCAAACTTTATTTTATTTTGTTATTTAACAAAAAAAATCTAAATTGATGTTCTTTTGTTTAAAATATCAAAGCTCTGGCAAATAAATTAAAGAGATAAATAATAATGCTTCATTGAATAGAACATATAATTTTATGAACTTGACTTAAAAAGAATAGGGTTAAAAATGGTTGAAAAGCCTTATTTATTTTTTATAAATACAATTAAATTTCCATAACTCGAAGAAAAAGGTTCGACTTATGGAGACTTCGAGTTAAAGAATTGTACTTCTAAGTTACTCTCTAAACCCTGTTGCACTTTATTTCGTCCGAGTTATAGAAAATTCGAGTTATAGAAATTGGTGTTATGGAAGTTTGACTTTATATATATTGTATTATATTTTTATAAATATATATTTTATAAATAAATAGAGTTTTTGTACCGCAGGTATAAAGCTAATATTTTTTGCCTGAATAAAAATTTGTTTTTTAGTGGTGTTTGTGACTATGAATGGAATCAAAACTAATTGCTTTAAAATTCCGTTTAGCAAAAGAAAAATAAGTTAACACTACACGTTACAAGTCTCATCTGGCAAGATTTATATTCTTTCAGATTCGGGCACGCCAGACAGTGCTATCATGTATATTATATACGAATATTGAAATCTATCCAAGATTTACTGTTAAATAAGCAAAAATAGTGTTTCCTTATGTAGAAAAGGATAAATTAGTTTTTTTTATGGTTCCTGAAATATCTTTACACTAGTGACATTTTTCGATTATTATTTAATTAATATTGGTATGTATGTACTCTTATCAAATTTAATTGTTTTCATTTGATAAAAATGAAATCTTGTGTTCTCACAAGATAATTAGTCAATTTCTTATTTATGTTAAAAAAAAATAAGAAAAAATAACGAACTATTTAACAATAGTTAAATAACTGAAAATTGTAGTAGTTAAGTGAATTTATACAACTGTAGTTTATGCTTAAGTTCTGACCATAACACATTAGGTACATTAGTTTTGTATGTTATCATGTGAATGCACGGTTAAAATTTTGGTTTAATAGGGTTAAATCCTGATATTTGTAGTACAAAACTGTTATAAACAATTAAACCAATAAATGTTTCTTAAGACGATGTATACGACGATGGTGGATAATGATGATATCCGAAGTAGCTGTACGCTTAGCACAAAAAAATTTGCTTAAATTTGTTTAAATTTATCTTGCTATAAATGGTTTTCTATATGTAACATAGTTCTTTTCTAATAGATAGTATGGTAAAAATTTCAATCTTAAATAATTTATATACGGAGTCCAAAAAAAAATTGTTAGTGTTCTTTGAATAGTTCACAATATAATTAAATATATCAACCTAGTCCGAACTAAATATAAAAACTTAAAATTTAAATAAAATTAAATAAATTGAATTCAAGAGGTTTTCGAACAGAAGTGAAACAACAACAAAAATTTATTTTTTAAATTATTTTAATTAATTGAATTTTTGGCTGACCAAAAAATTCAATTGAATTCACAATTAATTTATTATTATGTTGAAGTTGTTTTAGGGTAGTGCAATTAAGCACTTATACTCTTTTTTAACTCGAGGTATTTTGAAAACCCCTCTTAACACCTTGACTAGATTATTGTTTATCACTTCATCAGACTAACAATAATTGACCTCAGATCTGCATACCTCTCCAAGGAGCCTGTAACCATTCTAAGATTTAATAACGCGGTGTTGGTAAGTCTGTTAGTTTTTGCAAATAATTTGAGGGCTCTATCCTTTATGTATTTTTTGATGGGATCAATCTTGATGTCCCTGAGAATGTCATTCGTCCTAATGTACCATGGAACACAATTAATTTATAATCAACACACTTTGATTTTACTTCAAAAATAAATATTTTTATATTCTTTAGTCTAAAAATTTTATGTTGTATTTGGTTAAACAAAATGTATATATTATATATTAAAAATCTGTAGTATTTGACAGTTAAAAAAGCTAAAGATTATATATTACAAAAAAAAAATTAAGCAATTTGAACTTATTTAATCTTATTATTTAACATATAAAAGAACTTTGTTGAAATTTGATGTATGTTGGACGTGGATAATATTTGATAGAATTTATACCAATTTATACCAATAGGAGTAAATAGAGCATTAATAATTCACAAGGTTCTAATACGAAATTTTCTTGAGTTGTCTGTTTTTCATATCACAAATTATATTATACATTTAAAAAAAAATGCTGTTTCCTTATTTAAAAAAATATACATTTATGGTTATTATACAAATCATTGGGTCGGTTTATATGGGTGAAGCTGTATTCTGTGGTAACATATATTGTCTAAAATTGGATATTAATTGTTACACTATATAATATCTACCACACTTAAACACTGGAGCGTTAATTAAAAGTTTATAGACAGCTGCCATTTTAGCAATTAGGTATATTAATCATATCATATAATGCTTCTCAAAATTAAATTTATTTATTATTTATTATTATTTATATAAGATATATGTTTTTATATATATATTTTGATGAAATACAGAATTCATTATATATGTATATATATATATATATAAGATATATATTTTTATAATTTTATTATATGTGTATATTACTTCTTTACATTTTACATTTTTATTTAAATACATTTTACAGCTTTGAATACCAATTCCCTAAATAGGATTAATGGATGTCTAAAATTAAACCATAAATATCTCTAGCAAAACTTTTATCAATTTGATTTATTTTAATATAAACTCATAAATTTACATTAGTAGTATATGTGATTTTAATGATGAAATTCTGTATAATTCTGTATAAATGTTAATTTAGCTTCGGCAAAACCACAGCTATCTTTTTTTCTTGATTATTATCTTTTAAACTATTTCAAATCATAATTGTTTGGAAAATGCAATTTTCCTTAGAAAAAAAAATAAAAGATTACTTGTATCTATTTTTAATAAATTTGAAAATGTATATATAAATTTTGTAAATTTATCTACAGCTAATATCAAAGATGACTTTAAACAAAAAAAGAAAATTGAAGTGAACCAGATCCCTTTATAGTAAAATTTAAATAATCAACAAGAATTTCCTATTATCTAAAAATACATTTTCGAGTAAATTTTTAATCGTTTGGTAGATATTTAAAAAACATTTAATTGTACAAAAATATTTCGAATTGTTTAAATAATCAAAAGAATTGTTTATTTTCGTAGTCTATAAAAAATTTTAAAAAAACATACACATTGGCAATGAACTAAGCTAATTTTTGAACAGAACAATTTTTTCATAATAAAAAAAATTGGAAAGACCTGAAGTAAAATACATTTCCTTTTTTATTTATATTTTTGTATATTCTACAAAAAAAAAATTTTTAGCAGATTGTAAAAATATGCACTATTTTAATAAATATACCATATAAATTTCTTTAGAAACAGAAAAGATGATTAAGAAAAAAATAATAAGTTAAGAAGAAATATAAAAAATGTTTTTAATATATTTTTAATAATATTTTAATATTATATATGAAATTTAATTATTATTAGTATGGAGACTTATTAATCCTTTAGATAACACTGTCTTTTTATTGTAAGTTGGGTAACTCTTCATATAAGCAACGTTCATAAATAATTTATGTGTGTACCTAAAATAATCCTCACTAACTAAATTAACAATAATGTTAAGAGAATACTTTGCAAATGGGTATAAGGTGTTTTTTTTGTCTAATAAGCTTTGCTAATTAAAGAATTTTTTATATCAAATACCTATCAAATACCCACACACCTTAAAAATTAGACTCATATTGCTTAAAGACTGATAGCATGAGTAGGCCTTGCTTATTTAAAAATTAAGTGAATCAAAATATTTAGGTGAACCATCTTTGGATTGCATTCGGTTTGGTATTTGTTAAAGTACCAAGAAAAAACACCAAGTTATTGAACCAGTGCACAGATACTGGTTGGATGTAAAATTTTGCAATAAGTAATGAATAAGGATGATAGTGTGATTTAATAAAA